AAATCACCCTAGCTCATTAACGACGATTACTAATTAATTAAAAATTATATCATTGTGAAGCTCTAGTCTTCCTCTATCGAAGCGTATGATTTTGATCTTCATATCTGTTACCTTCATTAAGCTAATAAGACCAGAATAGAACGTGCCATTTTTTAAATTTTATTCATTGGGGTAAAAGAGTAACTCGCTCATTTTAATGGAGTAGAACGAGTCAATGCGTTGAAATCCAGGGAGATTTCAAAGAAGCATCTGTACAGAAACTAAAATTCTAGGTAAATTTGACCATGTTCAAGTCGTAATCTAATCTATATTTTGAATTAACAGTAAGTAAATTGAATACTGTGATCGCGTCTTATTAGGTAATACATACCTGGGCACCGAAGGGAACAGAAGGAAGTTTCTACCATGAAAAATAGGCGAGATATTTAGAAAATTTGATTTTTTAAGCAACTTTTCCTAATATTCCTATTTGAGCTTTCAATATTGAAAGAATTTTTATGTCAAAAGTGTCAGGACCGAACTTCATTTAATAATCCGTGTTGACATTTTTATGCTTAGCTACCAAGGACATATAATGCGATCAAAAGTAACCGAAAATATAAAATAAAATGTAATCGAAATGAGGTAGAACAGTCTACTAAGGGAGCATTTCAAAAGTGCATAAATAGGAAAAAATATAATGTGCTTTGTATTTGCATGTATATACTAAATGTGGCTATGAATCTAATAATTAGTAATTAATAATGAATTTAATAATTAACTAATATAAAGATGCAAACACGTCTTCTTGCTATAGTGTAATTTTAGTTAAAAAAAAGATTTTAGTTAAATCTTAGTTAAACATCTCCCAAATGGATATTCTGAAAATTATTTATCGTTTATGCATGTCATATTTCTCTTATGTACAACAAACAAAACGGGTGATGAAGTTCAAAAAGCAAAAATTCTATTAAATTCATTTGTTGAAAATTTTAAGAAATTTTATTGGTTTGAAGAGATGGTATCCATCACGCCATGTTACATTTAGGTTTACATGTAGAAATGTATAATGCTATTTATTCATGGTCCGGCTTTGGATTTGAAAATTTGAACGGTTTATTGGTAGAGGCAGTCCACGGTATGAAAAATCCTTCAACACAAATGATAAATTCATTTGTTTTATTCTTAAAATGTTTATATATATTTTCAATCAAGACAAAGATCTTACGTCAATATTTCGTGAGTTCGGGTCAAAAATTCTATTAAATAAGAAAAAGGAATCACCAGCAGTATGCATTTGTAAATTATTTTCGTGTCGTCTAGTAAAAAATAGAATTTTATTCGACAATTTCGTTTCAATTAATGTCGCAGATTATTATTATTGTAAAAAGGGTTGATACAAAAATTCATTGATACGTAGTTCTTTATTTGCTAATCGAATATATGAAGATAGTGTGTTATTATTAGAACAAGATAGTATTATTCATTATATATGTATTATGAGAAAAGATAATTATGAATGGTCATTTTTTGCGCAAACGTTTATAGAAGATCAGACAAAGCTGAGTACAGTTTTAAATGGGTATAATAATAATCAACATCCATCAGTTTTGAGTGTTGAAAATTTTAATAGTACTATAACAGAATATGCCTTATCTTCATTTAAAGACGTTTGGCCGTAGTTGATGTAGAAGCGGAAAATATATTGATTATTGTTCGTCTACCGTGTTTTTGCGAGCATAATTAAATGAGTTGTTAAAAAACATTTGTTTTACCTATTTGTGCACAAATATTGTTTACAATCGACAGCTCACTTTATGTTTTTGCAAACATTGACCGTTAATGGAAAAACTAGCTGAGTAAAGAAAGAAGATAAATGGTGAAAATTTTAAAGCTCTTAATATATTGACTAACAAACATTTACAAAAATAAAACTAGTTCTTTTCTCCCTTTCACTAACTTAGCATATGGACCAGATCTAAGTAGAGATTCCCATGTGTTCCTGATCAAAGAAAATTGCTAGACGCTAACTATAATCTTGTACAAAAGCATCGAATTTTAACCACAAACTAATAAAACGGGCTATAAGCGCTTGCACATTGCTTGTCATTCTCTTTGTTGACTTATTTACATACTCTCTCAATGACTACATCGAACCGCAGTAAGAAGAATACCAAGGCCCAACAATGTCGTACACGATCTTACAACATCATATGAGAGATACGACATCATACGAATCGTATCATACGATCTTACGAAATCTTATAATTTTGTATAATACGATATTATACGAATCTGGTGGTACAATGTTTCATGGATTTATTGCCGTTGATAATGAAAGTGATCAAGATCATTTAGTGTCCACCGTGGGACACTAATCTCACCATGTTTTATCCGGCTGTCTCTTCGAGAACATAATGCAATGCATTTCACCAGATATTGACCTCAAAATAAGTACACAGCAATTTTATTCATATTTGTCAACTCTGTTTAAACTGCTGTATACTCTCAATTATCATTCAACTTATTCAAGTTTTCGTATTACTTTTATATATGTGTACACATCCACTTGTGGGGAGTCGTGAACTGTGTGCGAAATTTTTTTCCATCACAGTTTTCGCACGTCGTCACAAGTGAAATTCAATAATAATTAATTAATTCCGTCACAATGAAACTGAAATGTTATTATAATAATGTTTAGATTCATTAAACGCTCTTATTGTTGAAAGAGCCCTGTTTCAAAAAAAGGAGAAGTATTTGGCCCAAATACTTCGATTCAAGCTGAAATCTTGCACAAGAAACAAGATTAATTAAACATAAAAATAATTTCTTGTGTTTCTCCAAGTCAAAATCTTGATACAAATGTAAAAGAAAACTTCCACTGCTGTGTAAATTGTGAGAATTTTACAAAAATCGCACTAACGCTGACGATTCCTTAACTATTAGGGATATGAACTCTATCAAAATCAAAAATGCGAATTACTGTCTAAACCTAATACAATCAAATTTCGATTTTCTTGCTGTTTACTTTTCCTTCGCGTCCCATTTCTTGCATTTTATTACTTTCGCCGAAAAATTTCTCTCAAAGTTTGACTGTTTTGACAAAGCTATTGCGTTACTCGACTGAGCCAATATAAGTAAGATGGAAGGAAAGAAGAAATTAGGCGCCCATTACATTGAGAAAATACTGCTTTATTTAAAAATAATTTTCATAGAAATTAAGGATTAATAATAAAAAATAAACAGCGTTTCGGCAGAAGTCTGAAAAAGATACTCAAAACTTTGTAAGACGCGGAGCGAATGTTTATCGTCTACGGAACACTTTTTTAAAGAACTTCTTTACAATTCTTTTTTGCTCTTTATGCTTTTCGAGGGCGAAAGTATGAAATTATCGACTTTATTGCACGATGTTTTACCCGGTTTTTTCTTCGGAAGCATGATACAAAAAGTGATGATTCAAAATTGCTGTGTATTACGCATTTCTCGGTGATTCACCATCGTTTTGATGATTGTACAATAGTATGAGTGCAATGTGAAATGTATCGATGTTCGAATAATACTGTGTTGGTAAAGAATCTCGAACATTGGACAAGGAAGTGTCGCTTTAGCTGGACAAGCCGTTTTCTAAAAATAGGCAAAATGAGTGAATTTTTCGAACATTCAGGTTTTGTGTGTTCTGTTAAATTCTAAAACTCCTTTATCCAAATCGAGCATACAAAACTCTCCCTATACTGTCATTTTTCTTTGAAAAAGAGGAACATTTAGCATGATTTTAATATATAGAAGTTAACTTTCCAATTTTCTAACAAAGGTCGCATCCGGTTAATATGGGATTTGAGGTCAGACACCTTTAACTTAGCTTGAAAATTTCTCTAGAGTAAACAAGAATGGTAGTTCTCTAGGCGTAGTGATTTCTTACAGTAACTGGAAATCTAAGAGTGCCAAAGAATCTGTTTTTCTTGGTTATCAGAATCATAACTATCCGATGATGGTTAACTTTAGCCTTTTCATCCGCTGTATAACACCCAAGGGGGGAAACAACTGACTCCACTTGACTCCAGTCGTATGCAGTCATCAGGAGTCAAGTGAAACCCAGAGTCTGCTCTTTGACCCTTGCCCACCCACCTAAGGGGGAAACAATGTGACCCAGTCGTGTGGAGTCATATGGAGTCTGCTATTTACCCCTTCTGCACCCACTACTAGGACTCTTACAGTTCCAATCCCAGAGAGCTCGTGAAAGGTTCCTAATAACAGAGAAACTGCGTTCTGTTGTGGGAATCTAGGCACGATAACAGGACAATTATGTTCTGTTGTGGGAATTTGATCCTAGTAACAGAACACAACTGTTCCGTTTTGGGAACCATAAGTACTCCTTGATGATCAATGAGTATTTTTGAGTAATAATGAGCAATGGATGAATTGATTGATTCTATGATTCCACCACTTCTTAAAAACTGATACGAATTGTTATATTCCTACATGTGACTCCACAATTCTATTACATTTTGGAGTCATGTGGAGTCAAGTAGAGTCAATTGATGCAGTAGAGTCTGGAGTCAGTTGTTTCCCCCTTGACAACACCTGTTTTCTTTAGCCTTTAATTCATTTCTACAGTTGTGACAATTTCATTTCATCAATACACTTTATTCGTTTGAATCTATGATATCATTACAGTCACGTCGTCGAAAGAGAATTTTCATTTTTTTCTAATGATGATGAAGATACTAGAGGAAAATAATATTTACTTGTTGAGTAACTGGTTGTGTAAAAAGAGCAAAGCAGAAAATCTCGCATATTTACAATATCACGTGTTTTCGAAAAAGCGGCCCCTTCAACTTTTTCGACTATAAAGAATCTTTTTCAAAAGTTAAATAACACTTTTTCTTACTCAACTCATCACGCTCTATCGAACCATATATAGAAAGATGAACAAAAATGTTTTACTTAAAGTTCGAATTGCCGGCACCTTACATATAGACACATCTGACCGTCTATATGAAACAAAATCATCATTCTTCCAGTTACAATTTAAGATTTTTATCTGTTAAGATTTTGATAAATCGTCGATGATTAATTGAACCAAGCCCGGTAACGGGATCAAAACCTTTTGCAGTTAAAAAACCATATTGGCAACATGTTGGTGATGCAGTACATTTGTTATCAGCTTTCGTAATATCATAAAATACATCTGGATATTTTTTAGCTAATTTATATAATAATGGATTTAAAAAACCTAATAATTTTAAACCATTCTTTAACCGACGATTATTAATTAAACTAAATAGACCAGCAATAGTTGGACTACTAGCAGATGTACCTAAAAAGCAACATAACAACATGTTTTTAACAGGATAATTTGGTAAGGATCAATATAAAACTTAC